CGCCTGGCGCCCCCCCCGGGCCAGCCTCTACGCCAGCTCCATGGGCTTTCTCTCACCTGGCTTCGCTGTGTCAGCTACTCAAACGTGTGGCGAGAAGTGGATTGGAAGATGCAGTGCACCCCATCCTCTGAACACTGCACCGTGTAGGAGCTCGTAAGCGAGGGTAAGTAGAGCTGAAATGTGTGCCGCGGGCATGCTGGGGTTCCGGGGAGCCAGCTGACCCCTTGTTTCTGACGACACCGATGATAACGTATTCAGTCCTAAGGAGGACTTGAAATGGGTCTGCACCTGCTATATGTTTACAGTTGAAATGGTTGTTATCATGATGCAAGGAAGGTTGTTTTTAGCCTTGTAAAAAAAGGAATGAATATTAAAAACATGAACAGGCTTGTGCTGGACAAAAGATAAGCAGCATACTGAGACAATGCTGATGTTTAGCATGTTAGCCCGGTACGGGCCAGCTGGTGGAGTGGTAGTGAAGGGGGACAGAGCCCCTGTGGCCAATTGTGCAGCTGGAGCCTGGGACTTGCCGGCTTGCAAAACACACTGGGCCTGTGTGTGTGCATGCCCAAAATCCAGAGAGGAGGCTGGAGGAGAAGGGGTTAGATGTGGCCATCTTCCTTACAGGATGGTTTCCCTTTTTTTTTCCTCTCTCTCTCTCTGTCTCCAGTGAGCATGCATGCCCTAAAGCAAAGCTAAGTAAAAAGAAAAATATAGACAAGGGAAAATAAGATGAATCAAGGAAAAAATGTTGAGCATCTGAGTTATTCAGCCTTGCATAAAAGCCAAATACTGAGTTTACCTGGCCGGTTTACCTTCTTCAGTCTTGAGAACCTCACCAGGTCTTTGGCTAATGTTTAGATTATATTTTAATCTTTCTTCTTGGTAGATAAATCACTACCTTTTTTAGGGAGATTTTAACTTGTTTTGCCTTGTTTTGGGTTGTGGGACTGAGAGAGGGGAACGTAGAAACGTGGGGAACCTCCACAATAAGAAAGCCGTGGCACCATGGATGGCCTTAGGAAGTCTCTTCATAGAAACTAGGGGAACCTCACACAATAAGAAAGCCATGGCACCATGGATGGCCTTAGGAAGTCTCTTCTAAGGTCCCTCATAAACGTGCTTTTCTTTTCAAATGCTCTTACATCCAGTTCCCTCTGTCTTAAATGGGCTAATCATGAGACTAAATATAAACATAAGGACATTTTTGTAGAAGGAAAATCCTAGATAGGGAGAATTGCTGAAAGTAAAAAGTATAAATATTTGATTCCTTTGGCCTTAGGACAAGACTATTTGTTCATTTAAAGCTGGGAGTTGAGAGGCCTTTGAAAATAAATAATGCAGAAACAGGTCATTTATTACCCTCACATAGTGCAATTTGATCAGGCAAGGATCTGGTTTCTCATTTAGCCAAGAGGAAGGGATAAATATATTCTTCTTTCTTCAAAATGAAAACAACTCCATGGTGTTTTTTTTTTTCTTCCCAATTATACAGGTAATGAAGATTTATTGTAAAAATTCAAAAACCAAAAGGCATGTAGAAAATTATCCCACATGATGTTCCATTGTTAATGGGTTAAGGAAATGTCATCAGGAAGCCATAGTAAGAAATATCCTTCTCCATAAATATGGGAGCACATTAATCTCCAACTTATGCGAGGGTAAAAGGGGAATCAGGGCACACCAGGGAACAGGAAGAGCAGTGAGATTAGAAAACTAGATAAACTGTACTCCTAAGTCCATGAGTTCAGATGAATTTTACATGTCTAGCACATACAACCGTTACAAGAACTGAGGTAACATTTGTAAGACTCTCACAAGATGAACATGAAGCAAGTTATCAGTTCTCTTTTTCACTTTTTCACTGCCAAGAAATTGATAATACTCAAACTTTCAGAGTTAAAGCTGAACTCTCAAATCTTGTATTTTAAAAATGATTACAGCCAAAACCATATGAAAAGATGTTTGACATAATTATTCATCATAAAAATGTAAATAAGGATGAGATACACTAAAAAAAAACAGAAAAAATAGCTAAAATTAAAATATAAAATGTTGGGGAGAATGTGGAGGAACAAAAACTCTCTTGATTTGTTTGTGGGAATATTTTTTGTGTTAAGAGATTTTTGCTATAGGACGTTTGTGCTAACTAGAGAGACAGAGCTAGAGAGACAGAAGGCAAGAAATCACCTCCCTTCCAGGGAGGATGGCCACACCACAATCCCTTCTCCTCCATTCTCCTCTCAGGATTTTGGGCACACATGCACATGTGCCCAGCGTGAGTTTTAAGCCACCCTTTCCAGGACTAGAACCATAGTCAACTATGTGGGAGTCCAGTAGTTGGTCTCTGTGGGAATATAATGTCTTTAGACAACATTTGACAGCACCTGCTCAATCTATGTACTCTGACTTGCAACTCCAATTCAGGTATGTACCCACCTAAAATGAGAGTTTTGCTTTCCAGAGGATATATAATAAATTATTATTATTATTTAATACATTTTCCCACCTTGGAAAAAATATGTAACCAAATCGTGATGTGTAATGGTAACAGAAATGCGTAACAATGAGAAAGAATGAACAGACTACTGATACATGATAGAGATGAGAGATTCAAAAGCAGGTAAGACAAAGTAAGACCTCTCTTTGGAGCTGCATAGCGACTGCAAGGTGTGTTTGGGAGCCTTCTAGGATGCTCGAAATTCTGTATATGTTAATCCAAATGCTGTTTAATTAAGTTTATACAATATATAAAATTCATAAAGATCTTCATTGAAGATCTGTGCACTTTCAATATATAATATATGGCTATTAGTAAAATGATTTTAGTTTTTTAGTTGTTTTCTCTTTTCTAAATGTTTTGCGTGGATGTATAATAAATTGCATCTATTTCTAGGGTTACACTGTGATATCAGTACAAGATTTGTATACCTGTTATTCTAAATTGGTTATTACTCGTGTTGGGAACATTCAGAATCCTCCCTTTTAGTTACTTTATGATTCATGACATGACACGTTGTTGCCCTCTATAGTCTCCCCTGCTTATATCACCAGAAATTATCTACAATTTTATCTCCATTAATTCATATCCATGTGTTTACTCCCGTATCTCTCCCAGCCTCTGGCAGTTGCTCTTTATCCTTCCCCCTCTATAAAGGTTTTATTTTAGTTTCCACATTTGAGAGAGAGCATGTGTTATTTTCTTTCTACGATCATAATGCCCTCTAAGTCTATCCATTTAACGTAAAATGACAAGATTTTTGTCCTTTTCAATGGCCGAACAGTAGTCGTGTGTGTGTGATATTTATCCATTTGTTGATGGACACTTGAGTTTCTTCAATATCTTGGCTGTTGTG